TTTTGGAAAAAAAATACTTGTTATGACAAAGGAGATTAGGCCATTCTAGAATGGATTAAATAAATAACTTGGCTAAGAACAATCTAGTGGAAGGTATTCTCAAATTAAAATTCTCTAAAGATAAAATTTGTGAAGCATGTCAATTTGGTAAACAAATTAAAATATCTTCCAAATGAAAGAAGCACTTGTCCACATCAAGGCCTCTTCAACTACTTCATTAGATCTTTTTGGACCTATGAAGACTATTAGTTTAGGAGGCAAGTCATATGTATTAGTAATAATTGCTGATTTCTCTAGATACACACAGATATTATTTCTAAGCCATAAAAGTGATACAATAAAACCAATATTTTTAACCTGTCGTTGACCCAATTGGTCGAACCGTCACCTGGCCAAGATTTTGGGTTGGTTCAATCAAGACTCGTTAAAAATGTGTGTATGTCTCAAAAATTGGCTAGAAGTGGAGAATATATTACAAGATTGACAAGTACATAACACTTCATTCAATGAAACATTAAAAGATCCATACGATGGTCAAGAAGGAGATAGAACTTCAAAACCCAATAATTGTATAAAATTTCTAATATTATTGTAAATTTTGGCTTTTATTTGTAAATTTTAATCCAAGTCATTTGTATTTTTTTCTTTCAATATTTGTATTCTCAATTTTATTCTACCATTTCATTTTATTATTTTATATATGAAGCATGTATACATTAAAATTCATATGAAATAAAGGAAAATTCCAACCAAGTACCCTGCCAAACTTCTTTTTTCAAATTTTCCTGAAAGTTCCAAAATAGCTCCTTGTACTTAAGGGGTCGTACAAGTTAGTACCCTCCACTTTTCGAAAGTGAATATTTCAAAGTGGCAAAAATGCCCCCTTGACTAGACTAGGAAGCAATAAGCATTGTTCATTCAAAGCCTTGGTTTTCCAACCGAGTTGTTATAGTGGTCGCCGCTAGTGCATTTGCAAGGGAAATCATCGTCAGATATATTTTTTCAGGCGATTAAAGTCACTGGAAACAATCAGAAAATGATATTCTCCACTATACGATTATGTTTCTTCACTTTCTTTCCTATTTTACGCTCAATTAGCGGAAAAGATAGTGTTTTCACTCCGTTGCTTTCACCGGAGAAGATGGACATCATTGCCGTCGTTGGAGAAGAAAAGGAAGTTTATATTTTTCCATATTTTGTTTCCGTTTTCTATTTCATCATATGATTATCCTTTTTTGTTCTCTCGATACATATGTAAAACCCTACATTTTCCTACTTGTTCAGTAGATAGTGTGTCGAAAAACAAAGAAAAGTGTTTATTCATGTCATTGATGACAAGTATTTTTGTTGACATAAGTGTTGTTGATTTTCATGCATGTTTGACAATGTTCGAGTTAATCCTGGCTGTTTAATGACTGCCGCTACAAATACTGATATAGACAACTAATGGCTGCCGCTACATAAAAGGCGCAATTTTCACTTTCCCTTCCTCACGCCTCTTCCCGCCATCTCTCTCACGTCCCTCTCTCGCTCTCTCTCTCTGTCAAGGGAGTGTTCTGTCTCTGTCAAAACAGTGTCCTGAGGTAAAGTCCATGCTTCTTCTGACCTTCTTCTCGGATTGGAAGCTTTCTCTAGAAGCATTCTAGGTTTTATTTCTATTGTTTTGTTTTTTTGTTTACCTCTGTTTTAAATGGCTGGATAATCTGTTTAAGGAGTACTCATTTTCTCATCATGTTTTATGTTTCAGGGAGTAATCTATCCTCGTCAGTGAGGAAGCCGATTCTCCTCTCTCTCTCTCTAATGGCAGCTCTCTATATTACATGGTATGCTTTTGTTTTCCTTCAATTTCAAAATAACATTTGGTTCTTTACCGACGACCAGAGATTTGAAGTTCATGCTTTCCTTATATTTCATTTCATTTCTCCTGTTTAGTCTTCTTTGCCGAATGAAGCCGTTTGCGATAAGGAGAAATCTGGTGTTACGGTAAGCAGATTTCTCTCTTTCTTTCTTCCTTTTCTGTGCTTAATTTGATTCAGTTTTCGATTTACTATTGTTATTTTCTTCCCGTGTATGATCTTTGGTTCTCCGGGATTCGTCCTTTGATCTTCCGGACATAGTTTTTTTTTTTTTTTTGTCTCACTTTCGATTTTAACTCTTACTTGGGAAATTTGGTTCCAGTGGCCAAAGCAGTTGAATGCTCCGCTCGAGGAGGTCGATCCGGACATTGCAAATATCATCGAGCTCGAGAAAGCAAGACAATGGAAGGTGCTTTCCAACATTTGTTGTCCTTTGTTATGGATTGAAAATTAAGGTTTCAATGTTGTCCTTCTGGTAAGACCATTTACAATTATGTATATTGAGTTGCTCTTTTCCATACAAGTATATATTATCATAATTTTAACTGCACAACTGTGCAGAATCAAAGATTGCAATGGTTCGAAGATGGATGGTCAGGTCTACGAAAGCTTATTTCTAGTGGTTTCTTCTTTAGCTTGTCAAGTAATTGAATGCCTTCTTCCCCTCCCCTCTTCTTCTTTTTGACTCAAGGCTGGACCAAGGAAAGCATTATTTGAAGCCATCTTCAAGGCTGTTGGAAAGATAAATATTATAGTAGAAGACGTGGTATGGTTTATTGTACTCTAGTCCTCCAACTATCCTTAATCTCAGTCTGTGAAGTCATACCCTGGTGGTATGAAATTAAAATTGTGTTTTACTGTTTACAAAATCCTGACTCAAGAACATGTACATATAAGATTTACATTCCTGTGGTCCCTTATCATGGTTCAGAATCTGGTGGTGTTTTAATATTATAGCATAATGAGCTTACTACATCTTTCATAACCATCCCCCCTCCCCATAATTTTCCTTCCATGTATTTGATGGATGGATGTGCATAAGGTCCAAGTGTCAAAGGTTTCAGCTGAAAACTGTCAGCATGAGATTACTAGTGCTTCTTTTCAAGTATTGGAGTTTCTTAACTAAAAACAATGTGAGATGAGAAAAGGTATCATTGAATATATCAAATAATTCTTGCACTTGTCTTTATTTCAACTCCTAAAAAGCATTTTGGATTATTTTGGTCAACATATTTGCTACCTGTAATATTGTCTTTAATATTCTTTAATCAATCTATTATAACAGGGAATAATCACAGAGGATGTAGTTCAACTAAGGAAAGCTATTCTGTTCTCCAGAGAAGTAAAACAGGTCTGAAAAATTCTGATTAACTATGAGTTGATAGCAAGAAAGTGCGAGAGAAGTTCGGAACAAGAGAAAGAAAAAAAGTGAAAAGAAAAAGTTGGAAACACGAGGTTGCTACCACAAGAGCTCCGTGAGCGAGTTAGCCAACATGAGGGGTGGAATAAGAGAGCTTGGTTCAGACCCTATTGAATTCTTGTACAAACCAAGAATTTATCAAATTGAAGTTAAGATGTATTTGAAATATTTTTTTATATTTTATTGTAATTGATGTTTTTTTCTTTATTTTTTTTTTTGTATTTTATTCCGGTTTAAACGAATATAGAGAAAACAAGTAATTTGAAGAAAATAAAAAAAAAAGTATACTTTTAGTGGCAGTCGCTAAAAAGCACACGCCAAATTTATAGAGAACTTTTAGAGGCAGTTTAACATTTATATCGGCAGCCGCGAAAACTGCCGCTACAACGTTTGGCGATAGTTGTTTTAACGGCAGTTTGCTGGCTACCGGTAAAGACTATAGCGACAGTTTTAGGGACTTTTAGCAGCTGTTTTGACTGCCACTGAAAGTGTCATTGTCTGGTGGTCCCCTATCTTGTCCACAACAATGTGTCGATGGTGGGGGATAAAAGAGGAGACCATATATATTTTTTTTTTATTACATCGTTAGGGGATAAAAGAAGAGACCATATGGTTTTCTTTTGTTACATTGATGGGGGATAGAAGAGAGGATCATATGGTTTGACTTTGTCATTGTCTATGGTGGTTCCCTACTTTGTTCCCATAAATGTTCAAATTTCTATGTGGAAAACTAGCTCAGCATACAACATATCCCAAATTGACATTAAGTTGATACCCTGATTAAAAATGCACCCAAAAACACAATTTAAGGTGGATGATTGATTGTTTTGTTTTTTAATTGTTGACAACATTTGTAATTATCATTCTTTTTGAGTTTTATTGTAGATATTTACCATTTTCAACTACCATGGGCCACCATTGAGGTGCAATGAGAAATAATGTGGATGATGATTTGTTGTCATTTATTGAAATAGATACAATAATTATAGAGTTGGGGTATGTTGATAAATGGAAAGGGTTTTGTAAGAAGCTAAGGTATGATTTTGAAGATGGATTAGTACTCATACATAGTGACCAAGATGTGTTGGGTATGTATGTAGCCCGTGTGATTCATAAGGTGGATAATAGGACAGCCCTTCATAGGAAATGGTGGATGGCGAAGATGAAGTAGATGATTGCTTTGATGAAAGGGATGGTAGAATTGAAGATGATAGTGATGATGTGGACTATGTAATAAGTGGTGGTGATTATGAAGAAAATAAATAGACTACATTAGTAGAGGAGGAAACAAGTGTAGCCTCTAGTAGTTGTGATGCAGGGGAGTATAGTAAATTTGATGAGCAAACATCAACTCTTGCCCTACCCAATGAATCACAACAGACTGACAATGAAACTCATTATGGAGTTAGTCGTACAACACTTGAATTGAATGTGATTGGACTAGATTTATTGGATGACTATGAAAAGTTAGATGAGTTGCATTGTGCACATGATTCAGATGATGAACATGCAACATAGTTTGAATCATTTGTACCCAAAAGGAAAATTATTGCATCAAAGTTGTCAATGAGATTGATATTTCCTAACCCATCAACATTTAAGGAAGATTTGATCACATTTGCAATTATGAATGGTATCCAATTTAATTATTTGAAGAAGAACAAAGAAAAAATCATCACAACTTGTAAGAATAGATGTGGTTGGGCATATATGCCTCTTGAATGCAGGAGGCATATAAATTTCATCACAACTTGTAAGAATAGAAAAAATCTTCACAACTTGTAAGAAGTGTGAATGTTCAAGGGCTTTGAAGAATGACAAGCTTAGTGTAGCATGGATTGCAAAAAAGTATAAGAATATAAATTCCTAATTGATCCAAATTTTAAATCACTTGCATTACGCATTGAGACCTTCAGAGAGTACAAAGTTGATATTAGTAGGTCAACAACATTTAGAGCTAAGAGGAAGGTAATCATTGGTATTAAGGGGATCTAGAGTGAACAATATAAAAAGCTGGTTGATTATTGTCATGTGTTGATGAATTTAAATCTAGGGAGTATAGTGAAGATTGGTTTCTAGGAAGATTCTCCAAACAGTTCCAAAGACTATTTGTGGATTTCAATGTAATGAAGGTTGTTGCCCATTTATAGGGCTTGATGGCCGCCATTTGAAGAAACCTAACTTTGACATATATTGTTTGCAATTGCACTGGATTGCTTTTACTGTTGTTTAGTTAAAGGCTAGAGAATCTTAGACTTGGTTTTTATCTTTATTGTTTGAAGCAATTAGAGGGCTAGAGGAACATGGTTGGACATTTATTTCAGATAGACAATAGGTATTTACGCTAATTGTATTCTAGGGCCTTGTTGAGACATTCAAGAGATGATTCCAAGTGCTGAACACTAATTTTGTGTGAGGTAGATGTATGCAAATTTCAAAGGAATCTTTCTTGGAGAGACGGACTTAAGAGCTTGTTTATGGGGGGCAACCTATGCATACACAACTGTTGAATTTGATTGCCACATGGAGAGCCTCAAGTCTCTGAACAATGATGTGTTTGAATGGTTGAAGAAAATACCCCTAATCTTATGGTTTAGGTCAACCTTTAGATCAAGAGCCCATAGTAATGATGTCCATAACAATTTCTCAGAAGCTTTCAACGAGTGGATATTAGATGCAAGAAACAAACCCATCATTACATTGGTGGAGACAATCAGGAGGCAATTGATGAAGTTGGTGCAGATGAGATATCAGATGCTTGCTAATGAGAAGAATCGTGTTTGCCCAAATATCATGAAGTGGATAGAGTATTTGTAAGAGCATGCCTGTAATTGTTTCTCTGTATATGCTAAGATGTCTACATTTGAGATAACTTACTTTGATAGGAGGTAGTTGTCAATTTGGAGAGGACTTGTACATGTAGATAGTGGGCACTGACTAGGATACTTTGTTGTTATGCAATTTCGTGTATACAAATGTAGAAGGGTGTAATATATGATTATGTATATCCTGTGTACACTGTTGCAAGGTGCATATACGAGCATACAATGATATCATTATGCCTATTCCAGATGGTACTCAATGGCTTTGTGTTAAGCAAGTGATCCCCATTGTCTGACCTGCCATACCCTATGTAGGCAAATGAGCCATAATAAGAGGGTATGTAAAGGCAAGAAGACCACATACTAGGATGGGAGAGTCATTCCGAGGTGGGGGGATCATTATCCTAAGGGGTTGGAGCTCCACCATAGGAAACCAGTGGTTGACCAGTGCTACAACTGCCACTACCCCCAAAGAGAACTACAATAGTTGTTTGTTCTCAACTACATTACTTATTTACATGTTCTGATTATTGCCTCAAACCACTAATTCTATTGATGAACCCATATTTTCATATATGTTATCTCTCTACTTGTTCTCATGATTATATTGATCATGTAGGAAAGTTTTACCATGGAGGGAGGGCCATTCACACAATAGTTCAGATTATATTAATATAGAAGGTATCACAACTTATAACAAACTGGTTTGAATTATGACTTAACTTTACATTAGTAATCTTGCTTGCTAATGACAAGCATGATTCTTATTTAACTCACTCACCAGAGATTGTCATGTAGCTCATTAGGGGTTATGATCTAACCCATTAGAAAGTATGATTTAACTTAATAAAAGTTCTGATGACTCATCTTTGATTTTTAACTCACTAGTAAGATTTGAGTTAACTTATCTCAGTGGATGTTTTGATGTAACTCAAAAAAAATCTGTTATATGACATTAGAAGTGATGTTTAACTCACTAGTAATGTCTGACTTAACTAACTAGAGAGAATGAGAATGATAGAGAGAGTAACAGAGAAAGGAGATGACAAAGAGAGTGATAGATTGAATATATAAGCCCAACTCCATTGTAGACCTTAACTGCTACAAGACTAGCCAACCAAATCATTTTTGGCAGATAGGACAAACCTTGGAGCTCCCATTAGTGTGTTGAGATCATTAAATTCATTAAGTAGGAATGACACATTACCTACATATAATAAGTCTTCAATTTGTTTGGCAGTGCAAACAATGTTTAAATAAATGTACCCTATACTATTTCAACATAGTAGTCCTTGGGTGATAGTTTATGCTAAACAAGCAAGAATTAGAATGAACAAGAAGAATCTATTAAATATTGCTAAAAAATCAATGGATGTTAGAATCCAATGCATTTTTTATGTTGATGGCTTTTTATTTAGAAGAGTGAAGCTGGATCGATCCACTCGTGAGCTTTTTGTTAGATGGAACCTTCCCTGCGGACCGTAATGCAGCCAGGAGGGTGCAGCGCCAGACAGTCAAATACGTCATAATAGATGAACAGTTGTACCGACGGTCCTACACGCTCCCCTACCTGCGTTGCTTGCGACCTGCCGAAGCCGAGCTCGTACTCCGCGACACTCATGAAGGTCTGTGTGGCGGACACTTAGGAGGCAGGGCCCTCGCTCAAAAGGCACTTCGACAAGGGTACTACTGGCCAACGATGAAGGCAAAGGCCGTCGAGCTCGTTAGAAAATGCGACAAGTGTCAGAAGCATGCCAATATCCACCATCAGCCTGCCGCCGACCTCAAGTACCTCACCAGTCCATGGCCCTTTGCGCAATGGGGCATCGACCTCCTGGGGCCATTCCCGCCAGCAACAGGTGGGAGGAAGTTCCTAGTGGTGGCGGTAGATTACTTCACAAAGTGGATAGAAGCTGAACCTCTGGCAATAGTTACAACCTGAAACGTACAGAACTTCTTTTGGAAGAACATAGTATGTCGCTTCGGGTTACCTCGGGTACTGATCTCCGACAATGGCAAGCAATTCGAGGATATCAAGTTTCAGGAATGGTGCCAAGATATGGGAATTCGGCAGAACTTCACATCGGTCGCACACCCGCAGGCAAACGGTCAGACAAGTAATGAACAGAACTATCCTCCGCGGACTGAAAGCACGACTAGACCGAGCTAAAGGGTTGTGGGTGGATGAGCTACCAAGTGTTCTATGGGCTCACCGAACCACGGAAAAAACTGCCACAGGAGAAACCCCCTTTAACCTCACCTACGACACTGAAGCGGTAATCCCGGCGGAGATCGAAATTCCTACACTACGAATAGAAGCATATGACAATCAGACAAACGGAGACAAGTTACTTACCAACCTCAACCTACTGG